TATACCAAATCGCCAAGGGAAAATCATGTTCAACGCAGTCCACATATGTGATCACTCAACTTTGGTCTGTAACCAGTCTCAGCCATTATTATGGGAATGCTTCATTCCATAACAAGGATTTCACTAGCCTCCTGAAGGACAAGAGGGAGGGGGCAGATCTAATCCCACTCGGGAGAGAGTTCCATAGCCGAGGGGCCACCACAGAGAAGGCCCTGTCTCTCGTTCCACCAAACGCACTTGCGAAGGTGTGGGCTGAGAGCAGGACCTCTCCAGAAGATCTTAACGTCCTTGATGGTTCAAAGGGGAAAAGGAGCCTCCACCACACTCTGGGGCAGAGAGTTCCACTGCTGAACAGCTCTCACAATCAGGAAGTTCTTCCTAATGTTCAGATGGAATCTCCTTTAAGTACAGATAGACTTTTTTTTAAAGTATTTAAACAGACCCCTTTGTGATTTTTGGCCTACTTTGTGTACAACACTATGTAACATGATTTTTGTTCCTGGCTTATAAATTTCATTTCCCAATTGGGTCTACCATAAAAACCTGGGGAAAGTATATTAAACGGCAAAAACTTTGTTTTTGCAGGACATCCTGTAGCATATTTTGCTATAGTTTTTCAATGAGTCTCAACTAATTCAACATATCTGCTTTGAGCTGGGTTATCTGAGTCCATACTCAGATAATGTGAGATTTTCTTCCTTGATATCCTGGGATAAAGGGCTGTGTGGAAGAGCCCCCCAATTAGTGAGATATATGTGGTTGTGTAGTTTCAAGTTTAGTCTAGTGCACAAGATATCTTGATCCTTGTTGAGTTTAATGATTGAGCCGTGTAGCAAAGCATCATGCAATTAAGGATCTGAAACTAGTTTTGAAACTGGAAGAACACTTCTAGTTCTAGCTCTTGACCTTTGTATCTAGAAGGAGCAGGTGGTTCTTATGTCCACCAGACGCTGAGATTAGGATTGGAAATGGTACTTTGATCTCATCAGGCGAAGAGCACCAAAGCAATCTATTCCATTCTGAATGCAAATACACAAAGGTATTTAAGAATGGCAAAGAGCAAATATCTGCAATGTGGGTATTGCCCAGAGTGGGCAACTCTCAAAAATATGTTGCTGTGAGTTTTCCAGATTGTATGGCCATTGTTTCGCCCACATCTATGGCAAGCATCCTGAGAGGTTGAGAGGTCTGTTGGAAACTAGGCAAGTGAGGTTTATATATCTGTGCAATATCCAGGGTGGGAGAAAGAACTCTTATCTGTTGGAGGCAAGTGTGAATGTTGCAAGAACTCCCCTCCTTTCATAGGAGCCTGAATACCTGCTGGTTTAAACAAACCTTTGAGAACAACTACTTCTAGCTCTGCCCCAGATACTGTTGAATTGGCCATATCTTTTTCTACCAATTACCCAGGTCACTTTCTTCTATTAGGCCCTGGAAATGTACAGCCATAGACTCTACCTAATTTCCCAGGCCCTCTAAAATCACACTGGCCTGGCCCGGCCTTTTAAACTGCCTTGAACAGGCAGTATTATTTTAAATATATGTGCTATTATGGTTTTTAATGCATCTATTGTCTTGTTAATTTTATGTTTATGCTGTTTTCTTTGTACTTGGAAACCGCTCTGAGTCCCCTTGGGGAGATAGAATGGTATATAAATAAAGTTTTGTTGTTGTTGTTGTTGGGGGTCAAAATGGAAAAGGCTCCTAGCCTTTTGGAAAATATAAGGAATTGAATAAGACAATCTTCATGATTGAACAATAAAATAATACAAAGAGCAGAGGTACAGCTGGATAAAGGAAAGGGAAAAACTGGATCCATATAAGGAGTAAAAGGTGGTGGTTCCCAACCTGTGGTCCGTGGTCTGCAGCCTCACCGTTACTACACTTTGCTACAAATGCTACGTTCAGCAAAGGACAAGAGGGATCCTCTCACTTCTGCAGGAGTCTACCAGATACCATGCAGCTGTGGACAAGTCTACATAGGGACCACCAAACGAAGCATTGCCCAAACACGAATCAAGGAACATGAAAGGCACTGCAGACTACTTCAACCAGAGAGGTCAGCCATAACAGAGCACCTGATGAACCAACCTGGACACAGCATATTATTTGAGAACACAGAAATGCTGGACCACTCAAACAACCACCAATGTCAGACTACACAGAGAAGCCATTGAAATCCACAAGCATGTGGACAATTTCAACAGAAAGGAGGAAACCATGAAAATGAACAAAATCGGGTTACCAGTATTAAAAAAAACTCTAAAATTACAACAGCAAAACAGCAGAGGGAAAAAAATCAGGGACATCTAATCACCTCTCAACAAAATATTGCTCCAGGCACTGCCAGGCCATCAAATGCTAAACAAGGTGGCCAGTTGAAACATTCACACCTAGCTCCAGCAGACAAGAGTTCTTTGTCCCACCCTGGTCTTTCCACAAATATATAAACCCATTTTCCTAGTTCCAACAGACATCACTACCTCTGAGGATGCTTGCCATAGATGCAAGCGAAACGTCAGAAGAGAATGCCTCTAGAACATGGCCATATAGCCCGAAAAACCCTACAACAACCCACTTTGCTACACCATTGCAACAAGCGCGACTGATCTCGCAAAACCCTCTTATAGTGCTGGGGTTTATTAAATATGGTTTTCTGTGGGCGAGCAGATGGTGACTACTTGATGGTGTATGTTCTGTATCAGAAACTAGAGCTGATGAAGTCTATCCAATACAATTTTCTGAATCAGCACCCCAAGTAACCAAACCGAATCTAAAGTTGACCAAAAACCGATTCGTAACCCTTTTGGTACTAATGTTGGAGAGTAGTCCCTCCCAAAACAAAAATGATTGGAAACCACTGGTTTAAGGGGTGTGTTGCTACCCCTGGAAGCTTCCACAAGTCAGTGGCAATTCACTCTTATTTACTGGCTGGAAGAAGAGACACAGAATGGAGCAAGGACTGCTAAAACAGTGTTGACAGGCCATGTGCAGCTGCTGTTTTAAGTATACACCTTACGCTGCACACAAACCTCTCCACATTAGGCTGTTGTAGGTTTTTCAGGCTATATGGGCATATTCTAGAGGCATTCTCTCCTGACATTTCGCCTGCATCTATGGCAAGCATCCATAGAGGTTGTGTTCAGACCTCACCTCTATATAGCCTGAAAAACCTACAATCCAGTGATTCCAGCCATGAAAGCCTTCGACAATACATCTCCACATTACTTACTCTTGTCTTGAAAAGACTGGCATGGTTTCCCTTGAATCTATATCACTTGAAAACAACTCACTACAGACTTATGGCCAGGGTCTCAATTTGCATGACTCTCGATCCTATTACATTCCACCCCATGCTCATAACTATGTCAAAATATGTAACAACTGAAACATGTGCCTGCCGGGGAATCTGAATAAGTGGATTGTTAGCTATGAAACTTTTTGGTAAAATAGAATAGTTAAGTCCGAACACATCTCCCTTTACGAACCACTGTGGAAACTTAGATCTTCTAGGGAGACACTGCTCTCATTCCCACCACCATCACAGACACGTTTGGCGAGGACAAGAGAAAGGGTCTTCTCAGTGATTGCCCCCCAGCTATGGAATTCCCTTCCTGGCAATATTAGATCAGCTCCCTCCTTCCTGTCCTTCAGGAGGATGAAGACCTGGTTGTGGGATCAAGCTTTTGGGGCAGTGCAGTGAGGCAAAATGGTGTCCTGATATGGTTTTTAAGCAACTGATTTTAATATGGATATAACCGATTTTAATGTTTGTATATATTTATGGTTTTATGTCCCGGCATTGAATATTTGCAATATATATGTTGTGCTCTGCCCTGAATCCTCTGCGGGGTGAGAAGGGCAGAATATAAATGTTTTAAATAAATAATAAATAAATTGAATCTACACCAGTGGGTCCCACTGTGGGTCCCAGATGGTTTTGGCCTTCCAATCCCAGAAATCCTAATAGCTGGTAAACTGGATGGGATTTCTGGGAGTTGTAGGGGACTCACAGGTTGAGAAGCACTGATCTATACTATAGAATTAATACAGTTTAACACCACTTTCGTTGCAATAGCTTATTGCTTTGGAATCCTGGAAATTGTAGTTTTACAAGGTCTTTTAGCCTTCTCTTTGAAAAAGTGCTGGTGCTTCTCCAAACTACAACTCCTAGGATCCCATAGCATGGAGCCATGGCTGTGAAAGTGGTGTCAAACTGTTGTCAAGCAATTTACATGCTTTGGATAGAGAGATCCAAAAGGACAAGCCAACAAATCTGTATCCATTGTACATTGTAGATGCACCCTATTCCACCTAGGTTTACCTCCCCTTTTTATCTTGGTGTAAGAACCAGAAACGTGTTGGACAACAGTGGATAATTAATGTAGTTTGACACCACTTTCACTGCCATGGCTCAATGCTATGGGATCCTGGGAGTTGTAGTTTGGAAAGGCTCCAACACCCTTTGGAAGAGAAGACTGACTGAAGACCTTGTAAAACCACAACTCCCAAGATTCTAAGTCTCATGGGACTTGTAGCTTTACGGGGTCTTTAGCCTTCTCTACCCAAAAGGGCTGGTGCCTCGTCAGACTACAAATCCCAGGAATCCAATGCAATTAAAGGGATCTCAAACTTAAATAATTCTGAGTGCATCCTAAGCAACATGTAGGGCAGGAGCAAGTTTCCCAAACCGGTCCTGCGCCTTTAAGACTCGCACCGCCCTTTCCCTACTGAGTTCAACGTGACTTACTCCCAAGTGAAAGCATGGAGGATCTCCACGGGTTGAATGAATGTAGTTTGGCACCACTTTGACAGTCAAACCTCAATGCTATGGCGTGGAAGTGGTAGTTTTATAAGGTCTGCAGCGTTCTCTGCCAAAGAGTATCAGACTACAAGTCCCGGGAGGCAGAGCAGTTAAAGTAGTACCAAAATGCATTTCATTCTCCAGTGTAGATGCAGCCATTGAAAGCGAAGCAGAAAAAATAAGAGACCTTACTTACCAAGGAGCTGATTCAGTTTAGAAGGAGCGGCAGGGAGAAGCCCAGGCAACGCTATTTCTGCACCTCCTGGGGAGGAGAAAGAGGGCGCGACGCAGCCAATCAGAAGCTTTGGAACCCCTCTCAGGCTATGGGGATTGGCCAATCAGAGCTCGCGGAGGAGAAAGCGTTTGAAACCCCCTACCTTTTCTGCTCCTCCCACTCTGACGCTCCAGAGAGCAAGGCTGGCTTTATTGCTCTTGCACTGCACTTCCCTTCCAGATTGTTTGCACTCCAGGATCAAACTCCTGCTGCAAGGAGATTTCCCCTTGGACTAAAGGTGCATCTACAGCAGTATTTCTCAACCTTCCTAATGCCACGACCCCTTAATATACTTCCTCATGTTATGGTGACCCAACAACCATAAAATTAGTTTTGTTGTTATTTCATTTTGCTGTCATTTTGCTGCTGTTATGAATAGTAATGTAAATATCTGGTATGCAGGATGTATTTTCATTCACTGGACCAAATTTGGCACAAATACCTGATACAAATACCTGATACGCCCAAATTTGAATACTGGTGGGATTGGGGGAGGGTATTGATTTTATCCTGTGGGAGTTGTAGTTGCTGGGATTTATAGTTCAGTTACAATCAAAGAGTGTTCTGCACTCCACCAATGATGGAATTGAACCAAACTTGGCACACAGAATTCCCATGACCAACAGTAAATACTGGAAGGGTTTGGTGGGCATTGACCTTGAGTTTTGGAGTTGTAGTTCACCTACATCCAGAGAGCACTGTGGACTCAAACAATGATGGGCACTGGTGGAGTTTGGGCAAAACAGACCTTGACATTTGGGAGTTGTAGTTATTGGGATTTATAGTTCACCTACAATCAAAGAGCACTCTTGTCAGAGTGAGACCCTCCGGTCTGGCAGAGCGAACGTGAGGTTTCCAAAACACACAGACTCAATTATCACACAGCATTCTTCTTCTGTTTCAAAATATAATAAGCTTTACTGGAAGCATCTATTTACAGGCGACTACATGTTGATAATGAAAAATGGCGACTACAAAGTACAGGACTAAACACACAGACAAAGAAAACATCCTGCCCTTCTGACGTATCTATGTCCTAGCCGGTTAACTCCTTATTCTTCCCAGAGCTGTTATCTCAGTCTCAAGGACTTTACTCTGGCCTATAACAAAAATAATCTACTGCACATATGAGCAAGAATGAACATGACTGAATCCATCTTGAAATACAATACTAACACATTGAAAAACATATATATGAAATAACTACAATTATCCTGACAACTCTGAATTCTACCAACGATGGAATTGAACCAAACTTGGTAGACAGATTGGAAGGGTTTGGTGGGCATTGACCTTGAGTTTGGGAGTTGTAGTTCACCTACATCTAGAGAGCACTGTAGACTCAAACAATGATGGATCTGGACCAAACTTGACACGAATATTCAACATGCCCAAATGTGAACACTGGTGGAGTTTGGGGAAAATACTCCTTGACATTTGGGAGTTGTAGTTGCTGGGATTTATTGTTTGCCTACAATCAAAGAGCATTCTGAACCCTACCAACGATTGAATTGGGACAAACATCCCACACAGAACCTCCATGATCAACAGAAAATACTATGTTTTCTGATGGTATTTGGCGACCCCTCTGACACCCCCTCGCGACCCCTCCAGGGGTCCCGACCCCCAGGTTGAGAAACACTGATCTACAGTGTAGATTTAACACAGTTTGACACCACTTTAACTGCAGTGGCTGAGGGGAATCCTGCAGGTTGTATTGGATGAGTCACCAGCACTTTTTGGCAGGGAAGGCTAAGGCCCTTCATACACTGCCATATAAAATCGAGATAATCAGCTTTGAATTGGATTATATTGTTTATTTTATATCATTTCATATCCTTGTACTCATCCCCGAGGGGGGACTCAGGGCGGCCTCACAGCAAACACCATTTGGTGCCATCATAATGATAAGAACAATCAACAAAGTCATTCAAACAAAACATTAAATAAGTAGTTAAAACACACCAATTAAAATCCGGGTCCGGGTCAATTCATTGTCACTTCGAAATTGCTTATGTCTTCTTCATACAAGCCGCTGTTCAATGGTCAAAGGCAAGGTCCCACAGCCAAGTCTTGAATTTCCTTCAAAAGGACAGGAGGGAGGTGACCAGTCTGATGTCTTTGGGGAGAGAATTCCACAGACAGGGAGCCACTCTTGAGAAGGCCCTGTCTATCGTCTCCACCAATCGCATTTGCGATGTGGTGGAATCGAGAGCAGGGCCTCTCCAGATTATTTTAAACTTCGTGATAATTCATAGTAGGAGATACGTTCAGACGTAGTCTGGGCATGAACTGTTTAGAGCTTTAAAAGGTTAAAACCAGCACTTTATTGTGCTCAGAAGCAGATCAACAGTGGAGTGGTGTAACAGAGGAGTTGTATGCTCCCTGTATGCCGCTCAAGTGAGCAACCTGGCTGCTGACCATTGGAGTTGTTGGAGCTTCCGGGCAGTCTTCAAAGGCAGCCCCACATAGAGTGCATCGCAGTTGTCTAATTGGGATGTAACCAGAGCATGGACCACCGTGGCCAAGTCAGACTTCCCAAGGTATGACAGTGTAAACTTATGACCCAATTCAAAGCAGATAATGTGGACTATCTGATTTGATAATCTAGATTATATGGCCTTGAAGACCTTGCAAAACTACAGATCTATAGCACTGAGCCAAGGCTGTTGAAGTGGTGTCAATTGTTTCATGCAGAAAATTATTTTCACATCTACGGTATATAAATAAAAATGTAATGTTTGTTTGTGGGATTTACATAACTCAAAAACCACTGGATTGACACCAAATTTGGACACAATACACCTATCAGGACAACGAGTGACCATCACTCGTAAACACACTGAAAAAACACATCAGAAGGAACTTTAAAAGCCATTTTTAAAAAAATAAATACATTACAACACATGCGCAAAACCACACATATATATATACACACATATACACACACGCAAAACACATATACACAGACTAGGCCACAGCAACGTGTGGTAGGGGACGGCAAGTCTATATAAACAAAAATGTAATGTTCATTTGTGGGATTAACATAACTCAAAAACCACTGGATGAATTGACACCAAATTTGGACACAATACACCTATCAGGCCAACGAGTGATCATCACTCATAAAAACACTAAAAAACACACAGCGGAAAGGACTTTAAAAGCCAAAAAAGCAAAAAGATGCTACAGCACATGCACAAAAACGACTCCCCCAGGAAACAAAATACACAATCGCACATCCACACTCTCTTTCGAACTACAGTTCCCAGCATCCCCTAGACCAGGCCCTTTAGGAGAGGAGGAGGATCCAAATGCTTCCAAGATGCAAGCTATCTTCTCCTTGGATTTCTTTGAGAGCATCCAAATTCTGGCATATTTCTAATTTCCTATTCCTGGACTGCAACTCCCAGCAATCCTCCAGATAGATAGATCAGATAGGGTTAGATAGGTAAGTAGATAGATTGATCAGGAGGACTGCTGGGAGTTGCTGTCCAAGAATAGGTAGAGAAGGAAGAATGGGGAG